GCCACGCGCCCTTGGCGCTGCCGCCGCTCGCGCTCCCCGCTGCGCCGCGGTTAACGCTGTGCTTTCCGTTTTAACAGAAGGACAAGCGAGACACCTCCAACTTCGACAAAGAGTTCACCCGGCAGCCGGTGGAGCTCACGCCCACGGACAAACTCTTCATCATGAACTTGGACCAGAACGAGTTTGCTGGATTCTCCTACACTAACCCCGAGTTTGTCATTAACGTGTAGTCGCGGCGCGGCCGCCCGCCCACTCCTCGCAGCCCGAGACTCCAGACCGCCTTGTACATACCGACACTAGTCTTCCGGGGTTAGCAGTGCAGACGTACCCACCCTCCCGCGGCGCGCGCCCGCTGCTTGGCGTAGGAGGCCTTGCTCTGTCTGTGCCACTTGCTAGCTTGGTTTCCCCAGCTGGAGATGTGTGGGGTGCAGGTTAACAGTCAGTAACCCTTCTAGGAGCTATAGTTGGTGGTGACTAATAGAGTTTTTAAACAGAAATATACCAAATTGCTACAGTCTTTGTAACGTTTGAGGTCGGATGCTGAGATTCCGGTGACCCTAGCTACTCACAAAGCGTTTCTGTGGAATGCTAAGCATGGTTGATATCCCAAACCGTTGTGCTGAAGCTTGCGATGGCTGTGAGCTTGTCTTAGAGGAGCCTTTTGTTCCAGACATGGATCCATTTGATCAGTGTGGAAAAGCCTGCTTATAGACATCTATTTTTAAATGCATTGTATATACCGTCAGCCCGGCTCCGCCCCCCCGCCAGCCCGCGCCTCGCCACACGGCCTTTCCTACTCAGGCATCGAGACTCCAAGCGAATTCCATCCCAGTCCTTGTAAATCAGAGCAAATCTTTTTCTAAGCGAAAGGTGGGATTCTTTTTTTTTTAACATCTGGAACAGTTTGCAGTTTTGATACACTCTGCCAGCACTCTCATAAATCTTTCTCCTGTTTTTTCGCAGACACTGTCGAAATTTAACAGCTCTGTAAAGGATATTAATATTCTACCAAAACAAAACACATTTATATTCTCAGTTTACAATTTAAGAATTGAAAATATGCCCGCTACCAAAGGGCTGTACTGAGGGCTATTTATAGCGGTAACTTTTCTACTTGACACCCTCTGCTATTCTCTTAAAGGCTCAAAACCCATGAATTTTACCGGCATCTTGATTTACTCGATTTCAGCCAAAATTCCTGGGCGTTTTATTCAGCAGCCCAGGACCCTCTGCATCGTTCCAAAAGCTGTGGCTCAGCAGAGACGATGCCCGCAGCTGTCTGCGGGGCGGAGCCCGGAAAGCGGGGGCGGGCAGCGGCGGCCCGGTGGTGGCCACGCGCGGGGACTCTCGCTCGCCGCTGGGTTGGCAGCAGGCTGAGCCCCAGCTCTGAGCATCCCTGGAGTCACTCTTACTCCTCTCTTACTACACACGGGTTCGGTTGGTTTGCGACCACCCCCTGTGTGTATTTTCTGAACCACTACCAGCTCTGATGTAAATACACATTGCTCCATGCCTACAGGGGAAAGTGAGGGTGGGGTTTTATGAATCATGAGGAATCCTATAAGGGAAATTCTGGTTTGTAGATCTTTTATAGACATCAAACTCTACCGTTTGAAATTATTTTCTTCTGTTAATGATTCATTTAGGAGAAAAGGCTGCTAGAAGCTGAAGCTGACGTTCTGCCTGCCGGGGAGCGGTGCCGGGTGTCCCGGCCCCGTTACTCGGCTGCGGGGCCCCGTGCGTGCGGGGACGTGAGCTGCGAGTCCGTGCGCTCGGGTACTGACCTGGGCTGGAGGAAACAAAACCAAACCCCGAAAAACTGCAAATTGTGCCAGATTGCCGGGAGGGTTGATGAGACGCTCTGCACCAGACGCAGCTGCGGGACGCCTCGCGCGGCGGCTGGTTTCTGGTGAGGGTGCTCGTGCCTCCGGCACGCGTTTCAGAAGACGTCTCGCCGTCCTCTGCAGCCCGCAGCTGATGTTCAGAGCATGTGCGTTCCTGTACCTTCCAAACCTGCTGCTGCAGAATCAGTATTACTTCAGTGGTGACTGTCTTTAATTTCTGTATCTTCAGCTCGGGAGGCGCGCCCCGGGGC